TCTGACATGCTGGGTTAAAAAGTTTCTAGTCACCACCTCCAATAGTTTGGCTCTCCACGTATTCTCGCCTCCATGCGGTTCCTTGTTCTCCCAGTCAATCCTTCCATGATTGAAGTCGCCCATGATGAGCAGGTGGGTGTGTGTGTGTATGTACTCACCTAGTTGTGTTTGCGGGGGTTGAGCTCTGGCTCTTTGGTCCCGCCTCTCAACCGTCAATCAACAGGTGTACAGATTCCTGAGCCTATCGGGCTCTGTCATATCTACACTTGAAACTGTGTATGAGTCAGCCTCCACCACATCACCCCCTAATGCATTCCATTTGTCAACCACTCTGACACTAAAAAAGTTCTTTCTAATATCTCTGTGGCTCATTTGGGCACTCAGTTTCCACCTGTGTCCCCTTGTGCGTGTTCCCCTTGTGTTAAATAGACTGTCTTTATCTACCCTATCAATCCCCTTCAGAATCTTGAATGTGGTGATCATGTCCCCCCTAACTCTTCTGTCTTCCAACGAAGTGAGGCTCAATTCCCGTAGTCTCTCTTCGAAGCTCATACCTTTCAGCCACTGTACTAATCTGGTGGCAATCTTTTGGACTTTATCCAGTTTAGTCTTATGCTTGACTACATATGGACTCCATTCTGAGGACGCGTACTCCAGGATTGGTCTGACATAGGTGGCATAGAAAGTTCTGAATGATTCCTTACACAAGTTTATAAATGCCATTCTTATGTTGGCCAACCTGGCATATGCTGCTTATGTTATTCTCTTGATATGGGCTTCAGGGGGATAGTCTGGCGTGATATCAACCCCGAAGTCTTTCTCTCTGACTCTTGAAGAATTTCATCTCCCAAATGATACCTTGTATCTGGCCTCCTGCTCCCTACACCTATCTTCATTACATTACATTTCGTTGGGTTAAACTATAAGAAGCGTTTGTTCGACCATTCCTGCAGCTTGTCCAGGTCTTCTTGAAGCCTCAAGCTGTCCTTCTCTGTCTTAATCCTTCTCATAATTTTGGCATCGTCCGCAAACATTGAGAGGAATAAGTCTATTCCCTCCGGGAGATCATTTGCGTCTATCAGAAACAGGATAGGACCGAGTACAGATCCCTGTCGGACTCCGCTGGTGACTTCACGACAATTTGAGATCTCACCCCTCACTCTAACTCTCTGCTTCCTATTGCTTAGGTACTCCCTTATCCACTGGAGCATCTTACCAGTTACTTCTGTCTGTCTCTCCAGCTTATGTACTAGACTCTTATGGGGTACTATGTCAAAGGCTTTCCGACAGTCCAGAAAAATACAGTCCACCCAGCCTTCTCTTTCTTGCTTAATCTTTGTCACCTAGTTGTACAATTCTATTAAGCCTGTTAAGCAAGATTTACCCTCCCTGAACCCATGTTGGCGATTTGTCACGAAATCCCTTCTCTACAGATGTGTTAGATTTCTTCTCACGATCTTCTCCATCACCTTGCATAGTATATAAGTTAAGGACACTGGCCTGCAGTTCAGTGCCTCTTGTTTGTCACCTTTTTTATATATTGGGAGCACATTAGCCATATTCCATATTTCAGGTAGGTCTCCCATCTCCATTGACCTACTATACACTATGGAGAGTGGCAAGCAAAGTGCCTCTGCACACTCTTTCAATACCCATGGTGAGATCTCGTCTGGACCAACAGCTTTTCTCACATCCAGATCCAACAGGTGTCTCTTGACCTCATCTCTCGTAATTTCGAACCCTTCCAAGGCCGCCAGGTATATTGGCCTCTCTCCTAGTGCAGTGACCTGACCTTGTTCTATTGTGAAGACCTCCTGGAACCTCTTTTTAAGCTCTTCCCACACCTCTTTGACATTCTCTGCATAGCTGTCCTCGCCTGTTCTAAGTTTCATTACCTATTCTTTCACTGTTGTTTTCCTCCTGATGTGACTAAGGAGTAGTTTTGTTTTGGTCTTGGCTTTGTTTGCTATGTCATTTTCATACTTTTTCTCAGCTTCTCTTCTCACACTAACATACTCATTCCTGGTTCTCTGGTATCTCTTTGTGCATTCTGGTGTTCTGTTATTTCGGAAGTTCCTCCATGCCCTTTTGTTCAGTCCCTTTGCTTCCATACATGCCCTATTAAACCATGGCTTCTTCTTTTGCTTCTCAGATTTTTTGTTTTGGGCCTGGATGAACCTGTTTACTGCCCTCTGATGCTTTTGGGTGACATAGTCCATCATGTCATGTACGGACTTAGCTCTGAAGTCTATGTCCCATGGCATATCCCTTAGGAAACTTCTCATCTCCTCATAATTTCGTTTTCGGTATGCTAGCCTTTTGTTTCCTAGTTCTTTTTTGGAGAAGATAAATCCTAGTTCTACCAGGTACTCAAAGATCAATTCACTGTGATTACTCATTCACGATGATGCTTCCAACTTAACTTCCCTTATATCTCACCCATTTAGGGTAAGTATCAGATCAAGCATGGTTGGTTCATCTTCCCCTCTCATTCTTGACGGTCCCTTGATGTGTTGTCTTAGAAATTTTCTTGTTAGCGCGTCCAGCAGCTTAGCTCTCCATGCATCTGGTCCTCCACGTAGGTCTCTGTTCTCCCAGTCTATTTTCCTATGGTTGAGGTCTCTCATGTTTAGTAGTTTAAATCCATTCCTGCTAGCAAGAGAAGTTGCTCTCTCTAGTATGTTAATTGTGGCCATTGTATTTCTATCATATTTCAGTCTGGGGCTTCTGTCATTTGGTGGTGGGTTATATAAGACTACGACTTTAATTTTTTGTCCTCCAGTTCCTGTGGTACCTGTTATGTAATCACTGAAACCCTCACACCCTGCATAACCATCTCCTCAAAATCCCAGCCTTTTCTTACCAGCAGAGCTACACCACCACCTCCTCTTTCTTCTCTCTCTCTCTTTCCTCACAACACAGTAGTCCTGTGTAAACATTGCATTTGTTATGGTTTTCGTTAGCTTTGTTTCTGTGAGTTCTATTATGTCTAGGTTTTCTTCAAGTACCTATTCTCCAAGTTCATTTGTTTTATTAGTAATCCCATCTATGTTAGTGTACATTGCCTTGAAACTCACTTTCTTCTGCTACTTCTCATGGCCCCTTCTTGGTGAGTGTTCTGCTAATGGGGGAAGCTATTCCAAGTATGTAAGGATTTGTGGGGTGGATAACAGGGTTCTCAGAGGATACTGGAGTGAGGGGTGATGGGTCAAGTAAAGGGGGACAGGGAGGGTATGGGATGAAGGAGAAGGGAGGACAGTGATTGAAAGGGGAAGGGGGACATGGTGGGAGTTGGAGAGGGGTAGCAAGGTGGGAATGGAGTCAGGTAGGGGGAGGGAGAGTTGACTGAGCATTTGAGTGGGGGTAGGGAGGGTTCAGGGTAGGGGGGAGTTTCTATGCAGTGGAGGGTGGAGGAGTTGCTCTCTCCTCTGGTGTTACTGGGTTGCTGGTTGTTAGTTACCCCTCACCTCTGTGAATGTTGTGTTGCGGGCTGTGATTTCCTGGTTTTCTCCTCTCGCCCTGTGCTTCTTCCTTGCTTCTGCCACCATGGCTCTCCTCCCTCGTCACGTCCCTCTGAAGGAATACTTTTCTTAAGTCTCCCTCATATTGCAGGTTATCCCTCATATCCTTGTTAGAATCTTCTCCTTTGTAGTCTCGTTTGCAAACACTATCTTTAAAATGCGGTCTCTGTCCTTGTTGTACTAGTCTAACCTGAAAACCTTCTCAATGCTATGTTCAACCACTCCCATCTCTAGCCCCTTTAGTATTTCATTCACTGCCACTCTGTCCTTATCATTACATTGTTCTATTGTAGCCTTCCTGCTCTTTAATACCCACAGCTACCACTGATCTTTTTCTTTCCAGCAGCTGACTAGTGGATCTTGCTGCTTCCTGTGGGGTGGCTACCTTCAGGGATACCTCCCTCACTGTTAACATTACTTCCGAGTTCTTTTTTAGCATTTCTGCAAATGTTGCTTGTACAATGGCATTACCTTCCAATGTACCATTTCCATCTTGTCTTTGGATAATTATTTGAGTCTCAGCCTTAGTATTGTTCTCTTTGAGGGATTTAATCTCCTCCTTTGCTGCTGTCAGCTCGCTTTTTAGGTTGCTTATTGTATTATTCATTTCCTGTATCTCCCTCCTGATATCCTCCAAAACCTGGGCAAACATTTCCTTCATTTGGTCACATGAACTTTTCCCTGTTCCCTAGGTACTTCTCGCTTCCATGTTTGTCTCTCAATATGAGAGAGAGCTGTATAGAAATTCTGTTATCAATGAATGCTCTGAGTGACAATTCGTAATTGCTGGAATTATTACCAGCTAATAAACAATATGATTTAAAACGAAGATAAACATTTTATCAGCTTTAATTCACTGAGCATATTCGTGACAATAGAGTTATTAAATAATAATTCTCATTAAGTAATATGAAATAAAGAGATCTTAAGACAATTCTCTTAAATAATTTTCCCTCTCATCATGTGTGCTGATGCAACACTCGACTAGAATTTCTGGGAAATGAAGCATTATTACCCATTAATTAAATGATGTTATTTTCACTACTCTACTAGTTAGTAGTATTAGCAAATTATATTACACAGTACAGGAATTTTTTCTTAAAGTACTGAAGTAATAAAGTGTTGGAAATTTCCAATATACCTCAGGGGGGAGGAAACACGGGTCGCAGTTTATGGTTCAGTACTAAAGTACCTATCCCTCTACCTTGAAGTAATATTCATTAGGTTAATAAGTTAGTACGTTAGTATGTACAGGACGGATATCCTGTATCTGTGTAACAGATGTGACAAAGTCTTTATGGGAACATATCAGAATTTAAATATTAAAAATTAAATCTTCTAAGATTAAGAAATCTCTAAATCTACAGCAAATTCAATGATTTGTGTCTCAATGACTTCTACTGGTTAAGTAACTTGATCATTGAATCATTCTGAAGATTCAAGAAATATTTTTAACATCAGGAGATGATTATCGGCAACTTAAGCAGAATCAAAGTATTGTTTGAGTTTCAGCTTGCATTGTTGAGCAGCCATTCTAGATGGACGTGTACTCAGGTGGACAGATTTACTGTTTTCTGAAACTTGGGGTGAATTTGCCTCTGAAAAACATTCATGTTTTGCTAGTTCTAGTGGTACTAATTTTTCTAGAGTTTTTAGGGTGGTCATGCCTTGACACTGAACCCTAACTATTCTTAATACACCTTGGTGATCAGGATGTACATCAACAGTTTTGCCAATAGGCCAATCTAACCTGAGTCCATCACTATCAACTAAGACTAGATCACCTGGTTTTAATTGAACTTCATTATATGGGCTTGCAGCTCCATAATGATACTCTCTCAGAGCAGTTAGATATTCACGAGTCCACACTTCATTCCACCTGCCTATCACTCTCGAAAGATGTTTGTAACTTTCCACTAAGTCACTTCTTCCAACACATGAAGGCCCTTCCAGATCCTCATCCTCTAGAGATATCAGAGGGCTCAGAAGGCTACCATGAATCAGATGAGAGAGACTCAGGGGATTTCTCTGGGAGAAGTCATCTGAAAGATAGGTTAATAGTCTGTTGTTGACTTGTGCTTCTATTTCTGTGACAAAGGTTTGCAACTCGGTAAGGTTAATCTTCTGTCGATGTGAAACCTTCCTTAAGCATTTCTTCACCATGCCTACCATGCGCTCGTAAAATCCTCACTGCCACGGTGCTCGTGGAGGTATAAATTTCCAGTGGCACTGTCTTTGCTTTAAGACTGCATGTACCTCTGGATGCTTCCATATTTCCCTTAAGCAAGCTTCTTCTGTCACAAAGTTAAATACATTATCAGAGATCATCAGTTCGGGACAAGATCGACGTGCTGCAGACCTACGAAAGGCTCGTAGGAAGGCTTCTGCACTCACGTCAGAAGTTACTTCTAAGTGTATGCCTCGTGTGGTTGCACACGTGAAGAAGCCTGTATAGGCTTTCACCCGAATTTTATCGGGTGAAATTCTTAAGGAAGTGGTGGAGGTCCTGGGTACACACTCGAGCATTATACCTCCTGCAGATCACACAAGATTTATTAAGGGACTAGACAGTTTGACGACTCTGAGGAAGCCTAAATTTTTGTCGTAAATCAGAGTGTCTAATACTCAACCGTACAATGTTCTATGTTCGTGGTGATGTAAAACTATAATTTTAGTTATGATGTGGTGACGAGACAGAAGCATTGGATTCTTTGCTTCTAAGTCAATTTCCGCATGAAACAGACATCCTCCACACCATAAGATGTTGTAATTGTCAGAATCAAACCAAATACCCAGAGACTTGGTTAATTTGTCTGGAAGATGTTCATATTTTCTTCCATAAGTCTCCATTTGAGCTTGTTTGACCCAGTATTTGAGGGGACTTGGAAACTGATATTAAATTCCTATCTTATTAAAGAAATCAAATACAACTTGAGTAACTACTAGTAATTTTCATAAGCTAGAATAATGGTTAGGATTAATAGATCGATCGAGGGGGTTTTGGATCCTCAATGGGGACAGTGATATTGGTCACAATGACTTGTGGCTTCTGTTTGGGCCACTAACCACTGAAAATTGGGGTCCTGTAAACCACATTTCGGTTTTAACTAGTTGTTTCAAGGTTAATCCTCTTGATAAGTAATCAGCTGGATTGTCCTTGGTCGGGACATGTCTCAATTTATAGTCACCTGCTAGTTCTCGTATTTCCCTAACTCTGTTACTGACGTAGGGAGCTTTGTTGTTATTGTTGCTTTTTACCCATTGTAAGATTGCCTCATTGTCTGACCACACTACTATCTCACCAAAGTGAATATTACCGAATGTCTTAATCAAGCAATGAGCCAGACTTACACCTACGAATAAAGCAGTTAACTCCATTTGGGGAAAGGACCATTTATTAATTGGGGCCACTTTTGCCTTAGAAGTGAGTAAAAATGATTGTTGAGTGTTTAATAAATAGGCTACTGCGCCATATGCTTTGCATGAGGCATCGCAAAACGCTTGCAAATTTGTGGGTAAATTCTGTCCTAAAGCATTACGAGGAAATTTCAGAAAACTAAGTTATTGAAATCCGTAGATAATTGCTGCCATTTATCTTGCAGATCATTAGGTAACGGATTGCCCCAACCCATATTAGTCTGCCAGCACTCTTGTATGAGGAGTTTACCCTTAATTAAAATAGATCTAAGTAAGCCTAATGGATCAAATAGTTTACTGACATACGAGAGTAACTTTTTCATGGTTAAGGGAGAATTATTAGTTTCCACAGACTTAATATTTAATTCATCAGTGGAAGTATAACATTCCATGCCAGGAACTTTCAATTTATGTGGTACTTGATACTCGGGAAATTCATCCTCGATTATTTGATTCAGTTATTGATTATTAGAGGCCCATAACTGGAAAGGCTTATTGGCTCCCAGTAACTTGCTGTTAGCCTCATGATAAATTTCCACTAATTTGGTTTCATCATTGGTAGTTCCTGGAAGTTATCGACATATAGGTTGTTACTAATTTCAGTCTTGAATGGACTACCAGATTTCTTCAAATTGGTTTCCAAGGTGTCTTGGAGTAAAAATGGTGAAGATGTAACTCCGAATAGGAATGAAGCGAATCTATATATGATGATTTCACTATTAGGATCACAAGGATCCTTTATCCAGAAAAAATTAGTAAATTCACGGGCTTCCTCTTGCAAACCTGCCCTCAAAAAGGCTGAGTTGTTGAGTTAGACTCGGCCCAGTTTGTAGGCAATCATTAAGGGACACACTATCTACCATTACTTTGGCGCTACAGTTAAACACAATTCTAATTGGTGTCGTAACTGAATCTTACAAAATAGCGTGGTGAGGCAAATAATGCCCTAGTTTGTTATTATCTTGTTCAACAACTTCTATAAATTTGTTTGCATGTTGTCGCTGTATCAACTCGTTATACAATCGTAGTTTGTCAGGTTGTTTGTGTAACCTAACTATCTGTGATTTTAATTGTGTGAATGCCATGAAATAATTTAAATTGCTGTGGATGATTCAGCTTCAATGGCAATTTAACCCAGTATTGGTTATCTTGATAGATCACTGAGTTGAGACACAGTTGGCATGGATGTTCAGGGACAATACCTAAGGTGTCTAAATCCCATAATTTACACAAAGGGGGATCAGAATCATTCTCAGCCATGAGAATGTAGTGGTTGTAGTGCTAAGAGAATGCTAAGTTGTAGTGGTGACTGTTTCAAGCCTAGTCACTCCAATATGATTGAATTATTTTGTTGGTTAATTGTGGGTGTAGATTTGTTCTGGCATAACACCGGTCCTGTAAGTAATTTTCCTCCAGCAGACAGCAACAAATTCATTCCACGTTGCTTAGTGCATCTAGTAATAAACCTGTAAAAATAATCTGCCCCTACAAGAATACCGACATCGGTGAGGTGGCCAGAATTTATCTTATATTCAGCCAACTTCATGATACTGTTTTAGAAGCTTGGTTGTATGCCCAAGACCTGATACATATAGGTCAGATGGGATCTTGTCAACGATGATGGCTTGTATTGGGTTAGTATAGCCTCCTAGGCGTACCAAAACTCTTACAGCTTTGTAATCATGAGGTCCGGAATTGGTCAAGAATCCTGAAATATTCAGTTTCATTTGACTAAAAGTTTTCAGCTTTAACTGATCAGCCAGTTGTTGAGTAATAAAGGTCTTTTGAGAACCTTGGTCAAAAAAAACCTCGAGTGGTGATCCTAGACTTCTTGTTAGTTAGTCTCAGTTGAGCTGTAGGTAACGTGGTAGTATTACCTGATTCTGTAGCAAGTACATTCAACTCCTGATGTACCTTGCAATATTGTACAGTGGTGGAATTACTTGAATCTACATGAGGATTTGATAACCTTTGGTGGGTGTCTCCACACAGTGTAGACTGATGTTGACCTTTATGGCATTTATTGCACACATGTAGGACAACAGTACATTTGTTGGGGTCATGAGATCCCATGCATTTATTGCATCTGTGCACTTCTTTGAGACGTTTGATTCTCATACTGCGAGTTAAGTAATTATGAAATTTATGAGCGTTGTGTTCTTGACAGAACAAACATTTCTCCATTGTAGAAGGAGTTTTAGAAGTTACACTCACTACTGGTTGTGAGGGATTCACTGTACAAGTACCCACGTTATTGGTTTTCCACTTGAGAGATGATTTAGTTATGTTTGGTTTTGCTGTAGTAGTCACAATACCTTGGGTTTTACGATGAGTATTAGTAGAATGGGTTGAAATACTTTTCCCATCTTGACTGGCTCTTTGTCATTCGACTATGGAGCGTAAACTTTCTGTGATTTGTGTCATAGTCAGAGAGGTGTTATTGTACGAAGTACACAGTTTATCCAGTGTTTCACCTGATAACTTGCGCTTTACAAACTACTCGTGTCATCCATTCAGCAGTCTGAAGGTTGACTGTAAGACTTAAGGCCTTGAATAAGGATTCTAGTTCTAACCTAAAGGTTTGAAGAGAATCAGTAGAATTATTGGTAGCTTGTAGATCCAGCAATTTTTGGACTAAAATAGTAATATTCCTTTCGTTGTTGTCATAGTTGCTTTTAAGCAATTGAACAGATAGGTAGTAGCCATCACTGGTCAGGTTTAAGTTTGAGATTACCTTCAAGGCTTCATCTCGTAGTTGACCTTGTAAATAGGTGAACTTTGAAGTTTTAGGAATATTAGTTTGAGTCTACTGTTTATTCTACAAGTCTGAGTCTACAAATTTATTCCAGAAATTGTCCCAACTTTAATTCTCACTTCCAAAGAATGTGGGTAGACTAATCCGGGGTAATTTGACTTCAGTTTGTTGAAGATTTGTAGAAGTTGTGACTATTTTGTTCCAGTAATCAACTTGGTAAAGTGTTGCACTTTAACTTGTACATCATCTTCGTACTGGGCTAAATCTCGCACTATATCATCTAATTCTGTTCCGTCAATTGGTGTCTTGTTAAGTTCAGACAAATATAAATTCATATGTTCTTTAATTTGCTCAAACTTGTCTTTGGCAACTTGAAGATGCTTTCTAGCTCTACACAGTCAATGGGTGACTGTTGAGACAGATCATGACATTTGTTGGTCTGCCTGGTCAAGTGACCTTTCAGACCTGTAAGGGTCCTTTTCATTCGTCCAACTGTATCCATCTTCACATCAAATCAAATCAAATCAGATTTTTATTCAGGTAAAAGTACATACATAGAGGATTAGTTACAAACATAATGTTGGATTTAAATATAGAGCTAGTACATCCAATACCTAAAGCCACTAGTATGCATAGCGTTTCGGGCAAGGTGAGGTGGGGAAAAACACTTGGACTAAAACTTAATAGTAACTGAGCTTAAAGTATAAATTGCGTTGAAAAAAAAGATAAAAAAGGGGGGGGGGAACATGGTAGAAAATTGCCAATATACAAGTTGGTCAACATGTAGCAAACTAGGTTTGTTGTAGGAATTATCCAGAATGTTTTATCTACAAGGGAGAATGGGAAGCTGGACCCACGTGTATTGACCCGGGTCCTGACCCCAGGGAATTCGCGGTGAAAATAATTGACGCCTTTGTCCACAAGTTTCGTATAATGAATCATTCTATAGTATTCACTTATTTAGAGAAATTAGCCTTCATTCATTTTGTATTAAAATTGT